GCTCATGTAATTGTAACCCCTCTGTACAGTATTTTCACAATTAAAAAAAAATACCACTGCAGATTATGCTTATATCTCCTGAAAGCAATTATGAGTAGTAGAACTATATTTGTCTGAAGTAGGTAATAGGAAAATATACTATTATGGCATTTGCATTTAAAATAATTCAAAAGAAATAAAATCATACAATGAAGAATGGCACCCAGATCATTTAAAAAATTATTTATAGATGCAAATTATGTGGTTAATAAACATTTTTCTAAGACATGCATATTTTGATACCTTTTATAACTAAACTTATAAAAACAAACTATCTGAATATTTATCAACTGATTAGTTTTCTGCTCACTAGCAAAGTTAAAACTGTAATAATCTATTGTTCTATAAAACTGCAGATAAAATATAATAAAACTCTGCATTTCAAGTATAAAATTTATATTGTCTGTCATCAAACAAATTATTTAAATGCAATTGTTCTTTTCTAGAAATTTAATTCTACTAATCCTTTTTTTTTACTTTTTGTCAGTGGTGGGGCTTGAACTCTGGGCCTGGGCACTGTCCCTCAGCTCTTCACTTCAGCTCAAGGCTAGCACTCTCCCACTTGAGCCACAGCACCACTTCTGGATTTTTCTGTTCATGTGGTGCTGTTGAACCCAGAGCCTCAAGCATGAGAGGCAAGCACTCTACCACTGAGCCACCTTCCCAGCCATAGATATTTACTTATCTATTTACTTAGTGGTAGTGGCGTTTCAATTCAGGGCCTCTTTTGCTTTAAGCTATTTTTTCAGATAGGGAGGGTCTCATGTTTTGTCTGCATGCAGTCACAGTCTGCTACCCACCTACTAATCACTCACAAGCATGCTTCACATGCCCAACTTATTTGTTGAAATGGAGGTTTCACTCATTATTTGCCCATGCAGGCCTTGAACCACTATCCTCATATCTATTTCCTAAGAGGTGGGATGACAAGCATGAGCTACTGCGTCCTGGCTCCTACTATTGCTTTTTAAAATCATTTAAATGAAGTCCAATTTCTTGGAGATCCTCCTTAGTTATTTTCTACAAGCTATTCTACCATTAATAGTAGTGTTACAACTCTCTTAGAGCTTTACTTTTTTTTTTTTGTCGGTCATAGAGCTTGAACTCTGGGCCTGGGCAGGTGCTATCCTTGAGCTCTTCAGCTCAAGGTTATCGCTCTACCACTTGAGCCACAGTGCCACTTCTGGTTTTCCATGGACTGGCTTTGAACCGATTCTCAGATCTCAGCCTCCTAAGTAGCTAGGATTACAGGTATGAGCCACCAGCACCCAGCTAGCTTTTGCTCCTCTTTCCAAGAGAATGGCTACTATTCAAAGACTTTCTTACTCATTAAATGAAAAAAAAGACTAATAGTACAAAGATGTAGAGGACATAACAAACTTTTGGAACACAACATCATGTTTCACAGTTTATTTATTACTATCTAGCCTAAGACAGGTCATCTAATTTCTCTGTGCTTCTGTTTTAACTTAAAATCAATGGAGGGAACAGTCTATGCACTACCCCCTTGTGCTATCGCATTAGTTCTCATTAAGCCTCTTTTGGAAGGTTTAAGACAAATTAGAACACATAATCTCTAAGGTTTCTTCTGATTATCACATGGTATAGTTTGTTTCTACAATAATTTTTTTCTTCTACAACAATTTTTCTTTTTTTTTTTTTTGGTCCAGTTGTGGGGCGTGAACTCTGGGTCTGGGTGCTGTCCCTCAGCTCTTCAGCTCAAGGCTAGCACTCTACCACTTGAGCCACAGCGCCACTTCTGGCTTTTTTGTTTTTGCTTATGTGGTGCTGAGGAATCGAACCCAAGGCCTCATGCATGCAAGGCAAGCGCTCTACCACTGAGCCACCTTCCCAACCCTTCTTTTTCTTTCTTTTTTGTTGGTTATGGGGCTGAATTGGGAACTCAGCACCAGGCACTGTCCCTAAGCTCTTTTGTCAAAGATATTACTCTACCATTTTGAGCCACAGCTCCACTTATGGTTTCTCTAGTGTTTAATTGGAGGTAAGAGTGTCACGGACTTTCCTGCCTGGGCTAACAATCCTCAGATCTCAGCCGCCTGAGTAGCTAGGATTACAGGCCAGAGCCACCAGTGTCCAGCTTACAGTAATTTCTAATAAATAGTTGGTGTCTTCCTCAAATCAACAAAACCCATTAGAAAAAGTCCCAAAGGCCTGCAAAAGTCCCAAAAGTTTCCATTTCAAGACCCAATTCCTCTTCAGCCAAACTAATAAATAACCTAGAAAGTTAACCCAAATAAAACTTTTGTATTACACTATAAACCTATCAAAAATATATTGCCTACTAGTTTACTTACATTCTAATTTATATAATTTTCATTCTACCTACATTCAAGATACTCTACAGTTAAGAGAGGGGGCTAGTTAATATAGTCCTATACTTCTAAACACTAATGAAATAAAATACAAAGAAAAGAATATTAATAATCATGTCCTACCAAATTTCTTACAAACGTATATTGCATACTATTTAGAGGCTGGAAAGACAAAACTAAGGTAAGTGTGAAAAAAAAAAAAAAGATTCTGCAGTGCTTATGACTCACACCTGTAATCCTAGCTACTCAGGAGGCTGAGATCTGAGACTGTGACTTGAAGCCAGCCCAGGCAGGAAAGTCTGTGAGACTCTTACCTCCAATTAACCACCAAAAAGTCAGAAATGGAGCTGTGGCTTAAGTGGTAGAGGTCCAGCCTTCAGAAAAAAAGCTAAGAGACAGCTCCCAGGCCCTGAGTTCAATCCCAGTAGCAAAACAAAACAACAACAATTGACATGCTGCTGCTGAAATGAATTTGGTTGTGTTTATTATTACTTAAAAAAAAGAGAAGAGAAAAATGTCAGAAGCACTCTGCTTAGGTAATACTGAACCATGACAAGTCACTGGCTTCACTGAGAAGTTAATGCACCATGAAGCAGTATTTTGGTACTAGTGCAGTGCAAATTGGTTTTTCTTTGTCTAACAGTGGACAGCAAATGAGGCACTTACCTATAAGTAGAAAAATAGGATTTAGGAAGAAATTAAAAATCATCCATAAAAGATAATTAGCATCATTCAAAAAGTAAAAAATTCTATTTTTATTTAACATGATTCAACGTTGTACATGCCTCACTAGGGAATTTTTTTTTTTTTAGGGTAAGACTTGTTTTATTTATACAAAACAGAAAACATCTATTTCAAGGGACTCTAGATTTCTGAGAATGAAATCCAAGCCTTCTCAACCTGAGAGCTTCTTCTTTGTAAAGTGAGAAAGGTACAGCTGAGCACAGTGGAGAAATATCAACAAAGGACACCAGGTGAACCTCAACTTCGTTCTTCAAGAACTTCTAGATAATTTTAAAGAAGGGGATCTAGCCCGGCACCAGTGGCTCACGCCTGTAATCCTAGCTACTCAGGAGGTTGAGAACTGAGGATTGCAGTTTGAAGCCAGCCTGGGAAACTCTGAGAGACTCTTATCTCCAATTAACCACCAAAAAGCCAGATGTGGAGCTGTGGCTCAAGTGGTAGAATGCCAACTTTAGAGAAAAACCTCAGGGATAGCATCCAGGACCTGAATTTAAGTCCCAGAGCTTGCTCAAAAATAAAAGTAAAAAGACAAAAGAAGAGAATCTACAGACTGCAACAGAACAATGATTAGGCATTTAGCACCCAAATTTAAAGAACACTTATATACTGGATATTTAACTTCCATAAGTTTGAAAGAATCAGATATGTGCTATTTAAGGATTTTAGCACATCCTAAAAGATTAAAATACCAAGCTTCAAAATATTATCCTTATTTACAAATGTATCATCTACCTTAACATTCAAACACAATTTTATTTCTTCCTGAAATTACAGATATGTAGCTATTTCAACAGGTAAAGGGAAATGTATTTTTTTCTGAACCACCATTCAATTATCTTTCAAATGTGGCACTTGTCAGAGATAAGGTAGTAAAAATTTAAAAAAAAATAATTACTCCTACTTTACCACTAGTATTTATTTTAAATGTTCTTCACTATGGGTCAGAGGTTAGAAGTGAGGGCTGGCAATGTAGCTTTGTGTTAGAATACTTGCCTGGCATGCACAAGGCCCTGAGTTGAATTCCCAAGGCTGGAAAGAAAAGAAAATTAAAACAAAACAAAACCAAAAAACAGGGTATGGCCTTGAACCTTGTACAACTATAAGTGTGGAAATACAACCAAGAACAGAGGAGACAGACATACGTTAATATCTGGCCATACATTGGCACATAAATGCTTGCCTGTAGGATAAAAAAGCACTCAATGAAAAGATAAAATGGCATAAAATTTGGCCTTGGCATTATTTCAAGTGAATGGAGCCTAGCATAGCCTCTCTTCATATCAAAGAGAAAGATTCTTGTGTTGCCTAAGTAAGCTTAATTTTAATTCTGGATGGAATACTTTACTTCATGCATTAAAACTTATCTACAACATTTACTAAGTTTTCTATAAAACAATTTAATTATCCTAAGAATAATTAATAACTAAGAATCAGATAATATACGGGCTGAGGGGCTAGCTCAATAGGAGAGCACATGCTTAGCATGCTCAAAGCCCTGGATTCAACTGCCAGCACAAATACAAGAAAAAAGATTCTATAATCTCCATTTTTCTTCCTCAACTTAGTTATATGAAAGTTTCCCTTGACTCAGAGAGAAGGAAAAAAAAAAAGTTTTAAACAATACATTTTCACTTCAAGGAACTCTGGCAAATTTCAATAGTTCACAATTGTCATTTATATTCATTTTAATAAACTGTATTTCTTACTATATAACTTTCTCAGAAGAACCAAAATTCTTCTAGTCTGTTATTAATGCAATTTTTTCTACTTTTTTAAGAAGCTGTTTTTGAAAGGAAAGAAATACATAAAAGGACATTGTTGATGCAAATATTAAGAAATAAAGTACCTATAGCTTTCAATATAAATATTTAATAGATTAGAGCCAAAAAGCTAGCAAAATCAAAATGAAAACAACTCAATATCTAGAATCTGAAAAATATGATACAAGAATATCAATTTTATATAAATAGTAACAAAATAGGGAAGTAGTATCCCCCTTTAAAAAGCAGAAAGGCAAATGAAAATATTCTTTAAAAAAAATTACATCCATTTCTATTTCCCAAAAGCCTGATATATTATACAGTAATACCAACATGCAATATCTGAAATGTGGAATCACATTCTGACTGCTGCCCCTGAACTTCTGCATTTAATTTACAATTCTCTGGTGCCTGGCTGATTTCATCTTGTGAAGTGGGAAATACATTTTGGGTCTCCTCTACAGAAGCACTGTCAGACAAGGCATCTAACTTGTCTGGGGAACCAGATATATGAAGCTTACTATCTCCTGATCCTTCATTAAAATTTGTCCTCTCCTCGGCATCTTCAAGCTGTTGAACTGAAGTTAAATATTGTTCAAGCAGATTATTATCTTGCTCAGTGTGGGAGCTTTCCCTACTCCAATCACCATGTTCTTCACTAACATCCTCTAAATCTGGCTCTTTGCCATATTTCACTGTGTCAATGGAATTCCCCATTATGGAACTTTCACTATCTTCTGTAGAATTGTTTTCAAAATCCAAAGAATCTTGCAAACACTGAACTTGTTCTGTTAGGGAAGAATGAAAACCAGAATCTGGAAATTCAGGTAAGGATTTTTCTTGAGGAACTTGGTCCTGAGCAATGAACCAATCAGAATTTTGTTCAAAAGAGAGGTCCTGACTTTGTGTGAATAGTGGAGGTTCAGATGGCACCAGAGTACTCGATATAGGAGGAACATCCTTATTCCAGGAAATCAGGCGCTGATTTACTGTCTCCTGCCAAGCTTGTAAAGATCTTACCTATAAACCAAAATACACGGTTTTATTATAAAAATCACACCTTTGAGATTTTTTTTTGTTTTCCAGCAGTCATAAAATTGGACTTAAAAACTGTCTTCATTCATTATTCTCCATTATTCTTTTCATAGCATGCCTAGCCTAAACCAGGCAGGCAAAGTCACATAGGTCCTTAGCAACAACAGACTCATTGTGACAATGATAATAGGCCAAAGTAATTCTCTTGCTTCTACTGGAAAAACACTGAGAAGTACAACAGTACATGTGCCAAGGGGTCAATAATGTCCAAAATGTACATCAATCTCTATTCAATAAAACTGATAAGACTGATTACAGCCTATGCTAGTATAAGTAGAGAGCAAAAGAAAGCCTCTTTTTAGATATCCATGTAAGAGTTTGAAATTTTTATGTAAAAATAAATATACACAACTTTCTAAAAAGTCTAAAAACATACTGAATTGTTGAAATATGACTGTGTATATGTGAGTGTATGCCTCTACTATGGTTTGAATTCAGGGCCTGAATGCTACCCTAAGCATTTTTTTTCCCCTCTCTCAAGACTAGTGCTCTACCACTTGAGCCACAGCTCTACTTCCAGCTTTTTGGTGGTTACATGGAGATGAAAGTCTCACAGGCTTTCTTGGCTAGCTAGCTTTGAACCACAATCCTCAGTTTTCAGTTTCCTGAGAAGCTAGCATTATAGGTATGAGCCACCAGTGCCTTGCTGATTATCTTTAATTTTATAGGTCAAATTTTATTGTAATAAATTATTTCATAAAAATATTTCCAAGAGGGCTGGGAAGGTGGCTCAGTGGTAGAGCGCTTGCCTTGCATGCATGAGGCCCTAGGTTCGATTCCTCAGCACCACATAAGCAAAAAGAAAAAAAGCTGGAAGTGGCGCTGTGGCTCAAGTGGTAGAGCACTAGCCTTGAGCTGAAGAACTGAGGGACAGCGCCCAGGCCCACAGTTCAAGCCTCACGACCGGACCCAAAAAAAAAAAAAAATTTCCAAGAGCCAGGCGCTGGTGGTTCACATCTGTAATTTTAGCTACTCAGGAGGCTGAGACCTGAGGAACATGGTTCAGAGCCAACCTGGGCAGGAAAGTCCATGAGACTCTTATCTCCAATTAAACACCAGAAAATCCGAAGTGGTGCCATAGCTCAAATGGTAGACCACTCGCCTTGAGCTGAAGACCTCAGAGACAGTGCCTAGGTCAGAGTTCAAACCCCACAACCAACAAAAAAATATATATATGTATATTATATATATATATAATAATTTCTTGGAAATATATATATATATATATATATTTCCAAGAAATTATTATTGAGAAATATTTGAGCCAGGCACTCAAAATAGTAGAGCACTAGTCTTAAGCAAAAAAGCTCAGGGACAGTGCCCAGACCCTGAGTTCAAGCCCCAAGACTGGCACAAAAGAAAGAAGTACTAATAAAACCAACTGCCTAACCTACCTCTAAAGTATGCTATCGCATGGTTTAAACCTGATTTCTCAAGTGTGCACATGCATTCGTGTGCATTTTTTAGGATATGCATATATATACTACCTTAGTCAGTTTTCATTCAAATATTTCAGATAAATAGCTATGCAAAACTTTAAACTGGATAAAAAGTTTAGCTTTGTGAAACTTTTTTATCTACTGGAAAGTTATCATGACACTCTCTTTTGAGGAAAGTAGCTCTTCTTTGTTCACATCTACTAGGGAAATAATGAGTGATTTACCTGGTTCCAAAGGAATCTCATAGCCTCCTCTTGTACAAATTTTTGAACACGTTCTTCATCTCTTTCCTTTCTTAGTCTGCAATGATGTAAAATAATTCATTTATATAAGGAAGGTTGCATTATAAAGAACTTAATAATCTATTAACAAGGGCTGAGAAGTTGGTAGAGTGCTTGCCTCGAATGCATAAGGCCCTGGGTTCAATTCCTTAGCACCACATAAGCAGAAAAAAGCCTGAAGTAACCCTGTGGCTCAAGTGGTAGAGCACTAGCCTTGAGATGAAGAGCTAAGAGACAGCGCCCAGACTCAAAGTTCAGCTTCCACGACCGAAGAAAAAAATCTATTAACAAGCTGAGTGCCAGTGGCTCACCCCTGTGACCTAACTATTCACGAGGCTGAGATTTGAGGATCATGGTTTGAATCCAGCCCTGGAAGGAAATCCATGAGACTCTTATCTCCAATTTTAACCACCAAAAAGAAAAAAGCCAAAAGTGGAGCTGTGATGGAGTGTTAACCTTAAGTAAGAATGCTCACTCAGAGACACTGCCTAGGCCCTGAGCTCAAGAACCAAGACCAGCACCAAAAAAAAAAATAAAAAAATAAAATAAAATAAAATCTAATAACATTATTTCCACTTTTTAGAATACCTAACCTGAAACCTTAAGGGTTTGTTTTGTTTTGGGATTTTCTTTTGGCGGTACTGAGTTTTGAACTCAGGATCTTCTGCTGGCCAAACATTTACTCTACCACTTGAGTCATGGCTCTTTGACCTCTAGAATCTAGTTTTTAAAGTGCAACTCAAAAGAAGCAGCCAAATGAGAGGTGACTGAAATTCAGATACTCGTTCTACAAAGTGTTGCCAATGATAAAAATAAGTAAAATTAACTGCCTCTGCACCCATCTTCAACTTCCTAGCCAAATACACAGAGAGTACAGAAGGTGCAGGCCATCTCAGTAAATCAGGTCAGGTCTGAGTAATTCAAGGTTCATATGACTGACCTATAATAAAAACCCTGGATAGGGACACTCTTGCCAGAGTTTATGCAGTCACATATCACAGCTGTGAGAAATTAAGCTGTATGTATAACTCAATTTGAAGAAAATAACTTATACCTCGTCTCTCTGGACTCTGTCCTAGGTGCCATTTTATCTCTTTATTATTTTAAATCTATATGTTTTGGTGTCATAAACTGTAGCCAGGAACAAAACAGTCTTCCTGAGTTCTTTAAGTCCCCTTAGCAAATCATGAAACCAGAAGGTCATTTTGTAGACCAATAGTCACAAATAACCTACATTCTAATTCTCTGTCCTTCCTCTGGCACCTCTCCCCCTTCCTGAAACACTTCACCTGTTGGAACTGAACGTCTGCTTTCTTAGTTTTCCTACCATCTGGCTGTCCCTTAGTTCTTTTGCTGTTTTTCTCCTCATCCATTTGATAATATTACTACGGCTAGTTATAAGACTGGTGAAATCCTAAGTTTCCTAGGTTAGCATTTGGTAAGCCATGTGAACATGGAATTAAAGAATAATTTCTACTGCAGTTTCAGAATGTCAGCCCCTTTTTGATCTCTGCTTTTCACTGTAATTTTCATCTGACCTTCTAGGTTCTAGGAAGACTCCACATCTTGGATTTTCTGCTTTTCTAGTTTTTCTTTTTTTTTTGGTCGGTCATGGGGCTTGAACTCTGGGCTTGGGCGCTGTCCCTCAGCTCTTCTGCTCAAGGCGAGCACTCTACTTCTCGACCCACAGCACCACTTCCAGTTTTCTAGTGGTTTACTGGAGGTAAGAGTCTCACGGACTTTCCTACCCAGGCTGGCTTTGAACTGTGATCCTCAGATCTCAGCCTCCTGAGTAGCTAGGATTACAGGCATAAACCAGCACCTGGCTCTAGTTTTTCTATATCATCTGTACTTTTCTCTGTTTAAAATTATAGATGATAGGGCTGGGAAGGTAGCTCAGTGGTAGAGTGCTTGCCTTGCATGCATGAGGCCCTGGGTTCAATTCCTCAGCACCACATAAACAGAAAAAGCTGGAAGTGGCACTATGGCTCAAGGGGTAGAGTCCTAACCTTGAGCTGAAGAGCTGAGGGACAGTGCCCAGGCACAGAGTTTAGGCCCCATGACCGGCAAAAAAAAAAAAATAATAATAATAAAATAAAATTATAAATGATTATATAGCTAACATTCATTCAACATTTTTGTGATACTTCATCTATGTACCAATTGCTGTGCGAGGGAGATGGAGATGCATATGATAATCTGTGTCCTCAAGATATTTTCTGAATATTGTAGGAGAAAAACAAGTAAACCAATAGTGGACATAAGGTGTGAACGTAAGGTGTGACAGAGCAGCACCGTGTTATGAAGCAACATAATAACCTGGTACCCCCAATCCAACAAAACAGCACACAACAGGGTTTTGACTCACCTCCGTACTTCATCAGTTAAGCAGACAATGTGCTCCTGCATTCTGCGCAGTCGGATTTCATAACGCACCTCTTTGGCTTGAGGGTTGTAGTTCCTGGCATAAAACCCTCGCCAACAGGCCTGAAGTTTGGTGGCTGCTTCATTCAATTTCTGAAGGGCAATGCTGTCTTGTCCCAAAGCAACAGATGCCTTGGTTAAAATTCTGCAGGGAAGTTCCCCTAAAGTAATCTGAGACATCGTTTCGTCACTATGTGGTTCTGCATGCAACACACTGTGACTAGCTGGTTCAGGAAGAGATGTAAGACTATGGTTAACATCCTTCAAGACTGCACTGACTATCATTGCCTCGTGGCAAGGTATTAGCCCAGCTTTCTCACTGACTTCTGTACAGACCTTACTTTTCAAAATTTGAACAGAACTCTCACTTGTACCCCATAAAGTCTTTAACTCTTCCTTATTCATGTCCTGATTTTCTAGCCCTTTCATCGATTCTTGTGCAACACCATCATCTTCCAGGCTCAAGTGAATGCCCTGCAGCCTCAGTTCCACGGTGGGTGACACTGGGGACAGTCCTGATGCAACTGGCATGAACGTAGACTCTGAAGAAAGAAGACTACAGTTTAACTTGTCCTCATCCGTCTGTATATCTTCTAGGTGCAGGTCATTTCGAGAATATCTTGTAGTATTTGCAGAGGCTGGAAAGTTATTCAGAACAGCATATAACTGATCATCATTACTGCTTAATCCAACCCAAGAGTTGACTTGGATGACAGGTTCTAGAAGAATCAACAGAATATTATTTGAATCACTAAATATTTAAAGATTTTTTTAGCTATACCCTTTGTAAAGTAATCTAATCCCTAAAGTACACCAAAATACACACAAACACATACAAACACACACACAAATACATTCAATGATTTCCTCTAAGATTCCTAAAACACCAAACCAAGCATTTTTTAATTAACATATTAATTACAGTGATGGGTTTCATTGTGGTATTTCCAGACATTCACACACATATCTTGATCATAAAATCACCCTATTACTTTTTTATGTTTTTTATTGTGAAAATATTGTTCAGAGGGGTTACAGTTAGATGAGCAAGGTAATGAGTACGTTTCTTATCCAGCATTGTTGCCTCCTCCTTGGTTTTTCCCTACCATCCCTTTCTTCCCACCTCTCAACTACATTCTCTCCTTCCTCCTAATAAATTTTGATATGGGTTTCATAGTGACTTTTTCATATATGCACACAATGATTGCAAACATATTCACCCTCCACTCTATTTTTCCCATCCTCCTTCCTACTAGTTACCCTTCTCCAAACAATCATACTTTTATGTTCAAACCAAACATTTTTAAGGAAATGAATTCTCAGCTGGGCACTGGTAATGCACAACTGTAATCCCTGATACTGAGGAGGATCTTGGTTTGAAGCCAGTCTAGGCAGGAAAGTCTGTAAGATTCCTATCTCCAATTAACTGCTAAAAAAGTAGAGCTGTGGCTCAAGTGGTAATGCACTAGCCTTCAGGGGGAAAAAAAAGCTCAGAGCTCAGGTCCTGAGTTCAAGCTCCAGAACTGGCACAAAACAAAAAAGCTGGGCACCGGTGGCTCACGCCTGTAATCTCCTAGCTACTCAGGAGGCTGAGATCTGAGGATGGCAGTTTAAAGTCAGCCGGGGCAGGAAAGGCTTGAGACTCTTATCTCCAATAAACCACTCAGAAAAGTGGAAGTAGCACTGTGGCTCAGCCTTGAGCTGAAGAGCTAAGGGACAGCGCTCAGGTCCAGAGTTCAAGCCCCACGACCCACATAAAAAATATCCATATATTTTTAGAAGGATTTTTAAAAACTAGAAATATAATTCTATAATATATAATTAAACATATGTATTGAGTTATACACACATATACCTATATATACAAAATTATGTGCCATATACATATAAAATATCAAACATGTATATATAAAAATAAAATATTCAAAAGATAATTTAAACTAATGAAAAATACTTTTATTTTTGTCGGTCATGGGCTTGAACTCAGGGCACAGGAACTGTCCCTGAGCTCTTTTGCTGAAGGCTAGCACTCTACCACTTGGAGCCACTGTGCCACTTCCAGTTTTCTGGTGAAGAGTCTCACAGACTTTTCTGTTAGGGCTGGCTTTGAACCATGATACTCAGATCTTAACCTCCTGAGTAGCTAGAATTATAGGCATGAATCATTGGTGCCCAGCCATGAAAAGTACTTTATAAATACTTCAAAAAGATGTGTTATGCTAATATCAATTTAAAGCAAATCAAAGACCTCAATGTCAGACCTGAAACTTTGAAACTACTACAAGAAAGAGTAGGAGAAACATTAGAACCTGTAGATATAGGCAGAAACTTCTTTAATAGAGCCTCAGGGGACACAACAGATAGGAGACTTGGCAAGTAGAACTACATCAAAATCAAAGGTTTCGGGGCTGGGAAAGTGGCTCAGTGGTAGAGTGCTTGCCTTGCATGCATGAGGCCCTGGGTTCAATTCCTCAGCACCACATAAGCAGAAAAAGCTGGAAGTGGCGCTGTGGCCCAAGTGGTAGTGCACTATCCTTGAGCTGAAGAGCTGAGGGACAGCGCCCAGGCCCAGAGTTCAGGCCCCACGACCGGCAAAAAAAAAAAAAAAAAAAAATCAAAGGTTTCTTCACAGCTAAGGACATAGTGACCAAACTAGAAAGACAGCCAACCAACCGGGAAAAGAACTTTATCAACAATATAACAAAGGCCTAATATCCAGTATATACAAGGAGTTCAAGAAACTAATCCCTCCCAAACATAATAAACGAATCACTAAATAGGCAACTGAGCTAAAAAGAGACTTCTTTGAAGAGGTAAGAATGGTAAAGAAACACATGAGGAAATGCTCATAATCCCTGGCCACAAAGGAAATATTATGAAAACAACTCTGAGACTCCATCTCACCCCAGTAAGACTGTCCAATGTTGTGAAGTTGAACAGCAACAAATGATGGCAGAGATGTGAGGACAAAGGAGCCCTATTGCACTGTTTGTGGGAATGGGAATGTAAACTAGTACAACCACTCTGGACAGTAGCCTTGGGGTTCTTAAGAAAAACTAAACAGAGGGGCTGGGAAGGTGGCTCAGTGGTAGAGTGCTTGCCTTGCAAGCATGAGGCCCTGGGTTCAATTCCTCAGCACCACATAAGCAGAAAAAGCCAGAAGTGGCGCTGTGGCTCAAGTGGTAGAATGCTAGCCTTGAGCTGAAGAGCTGAGGGACAGCGACCAGGCCCAGAGTTCAGGCCCCACGACTGGACCCCTCCCCCCCAAAAAAACCCTAAACAGAGCTTCCCTATGACCCAGCCAGACAACTCCTGGGCATTTATCCTGAACATCCTGGGCCAGGATATGATAAAGACACCTGCACATCCATGTTCATTACTGCAGTATTCACAATAGCTAACATATGGAAAGAGTCCGATGTGCTTCCTATACACAATGGAATTTTACACAGTCATCAGAAAGAATAACATAATGTCATTTGCAGGGAAAAGGACAGAAGTGGAACAAATCATGTTAAGTCTGGTAAGTTAAGATCAGAGAGACTAATGGCACATGTTCTCTCTGATATGTGGAAATTATACCTAAAAATCACTGGGATATGACAAATTTTACAAGATTCTAGACAGTTACATACTGTAAGACCAAAAGAAGATAGCCTTAGAGGAGAATCACAAAGATGTAATGCCTAAGTGTCTCTTCACATTTATACAAAATAATGTACATACTGAAACAAACTTAATTTTTAGGTGGTTTGGGGGGATTTTATTTGTTTTGGTCAGTTGTGGGGCTTGAACTCAGGGCCAAAGCACTGTCCCTGAGCCTCTTTGTGCTCAAGGCTAGCACCTGAGCCATAACGCCTCTTAAGGATTTTGAGTGGTTAGTTGGAGATAAAAGTCTTCCCAGGGACTTTTCTGCTCAGGCTGGCTTCTGACAGCAATCCTCAGATCTCAGCCTCCTCAGTATCTAGGATAACAGGCATGAGCCACCAGCGCCTGATTCAAATTTTAGTTTTTGATGTTTCTGTCTTCTTTACCTTATGTATGGTATATACATGTATGTATCTTCAGGAAGGTGGAGTGAGAGGGGAAAAGGGTAAATTGCAGCAGTGGAGCTCACTGGACATCAATAAAAGTGAACTACACAGCTCATGGTTAGAGACGAGAGGGAGGAATCAGAAGAGAGTGTGAGGGAAGACACCGTATGAAAGAAATGTATGCATTGCCTGACTCATGTAGTTGTAACCCCTCTATATATCACCTCTTTAATAACAAATTAAACTAAAAAATACATATGTGCTGTGATAGCTAGTAAATCAAATAATTTAAGAAAAATAACCAGAGATAAATTAATTTCTCACCATTTTCCTGGGCTAACTGGCAATCTTGAACAGGGCTTGAATGCTCAGGTGACAGGGGTGCCCTTAGTTCAATAGGAGCAAACTCTTCATTTTGGCTTTGGTTCATCAACTGTCTCTGGTGAAACCTAAAAAAAAAAATCATTAAACTCTGATATTTACAAGTTCATTCATAGGTAACTTCAGTCACTGGCAAATTACATAGTCTCATTTGAAAGCACTGGGGAAAAAAAGATGAAAATTGCTGGGTAGCAGTGGCTCACGCAAATAATCCTAGCTACTTTAGGAGGCTGAGATGTGAGGATTGAGGTTCAAAGCCAGCCTCCGCAAGAAAGTCTATGAGACTCTTATCTACAAACAACCACCAGAAAACCAGAAGTGGTGCTGTGGCTCAAGTGGTAGAGCACCAGCCTTGAGCTGGAGAGCTCAGGGACAGTGCTCAAGCCCAGAGTTCAACATAATGAACAACAAAAAAAAAAGGTTAAAATTTATTTTTAAATTACATGGATAGACACTATCACATGCACACATTTGCATATATACAAACATTTAAAGGCAGGCTCTGGTAGCTGACGACTAAAGATGGAGATGTACTCAAGTGGCAGAGTATCAGCTGAGCAAGCACAGCTCTGAGTTCAAACTCTGTTCCTGGATAAATTTAAAAAAAAAAAACTACTAAGTGTTTCTGGATGTTTTTTAGTATTAGTATTTTAAAGCCCATATGCTGTACCTACGTTAAAAAGCCAAATATTTATTTTTGAGACACAGAATCAAACCAAATCTTTACACATGCTATGACAAGTGGTCTCCCACTGAGCTGCCATCTGAGTCCTTCACAAAAACATTTCATTAAAAATTCCATTGTTGGGGGGAGGGGGGAGGCTGGGAAGGGATGTGAAGGGTAAACAAAAGGAGGAGGCTGCAATGCTTGGTAAGAAATGTACGCATTATCCTGCCCATGTAATTGTAACCCCTCTGTACAGTATCTTCACAAATAAAATAAAAAAAAAAAATTCCATTGTTGGAAGTGGCACGATAGCTCAAGTGGTAGAGTGCTTGCCTTGAGTTGAAGAGCGCAGGGACAGCGCTCAGGCCCAGAGTTCAAGCCCCACGACCAAAAAAAAAAAAAAAATCCATTGTTAGGGGTTGGGACGATGGTTCTGTGATGAGTGCTTGCCTTGCATGCATGAGGCCCTGGGTTTGATTCCTCAGCACCACATAAGCCGAAAAAGCTGGAAGTGGCACTAGCCTTGAGCTGAAGAGCTCAGAGAAAGCACCCAGGCCCAGAGTTCAGGCCCAAAAGCAACAACAACAACAACAAAAGTTCCATTGTTAGCCAAGTACTTGTGGCTCACACCTGTAATCCTAGCTATTCAGGAGGTTGAGCTCTAAGCTCTAAGGATCACAGTTCAGACAGCCAGGGCAGGAAAGTCTGTGAGACTCTTATCTCCAATTAACCACCAGAAAACCAGAAGTGGTGCAGTAGCTCAAAGTGCTAGAGTGTTAGCCCTGAGCAAAAGAACTCAGGAACAAAGTCCAGGCCCTGAGTTCAAGCCCCAGGGCTGAAAAAAAAAAAAAATCCCATTGTTGGGGGGGAGAGGGGGAGTGTAGTTGAGGAGGTAGGAGGGAAGGGATAGTAGGGGAAAAACAAAGGAGGAGGCAACAATGCTTGATAGGAAATGTACTCATTACCTTGCTCAAGTAACTGTAACCCCTCAGTACAGTATTTAGACTATAAAAAAAAAGTATTTAAAAAATCCCATTGTTACAATGGATGGAAATGGGAGGGAAAAATTGAGAGAAAGCAAGGGAAAGGGTGACATTGTTCCAGAAGAAATGTACTCTTTACCTGACTTACATAACTGTAACCCCTCACCTTTATACTAACCATTTTAAATATTTTTAAAGAAAAAGGAAAAATCTAGCCCTTTAAAATAATGAAGGATAGGAATGTAAAACAGATCTGTTTGGAAGTGGGAGTCAGGGAGAGGAAAGGACAAAGGGAGAGGTCATAGGGGTGTGAATAAAGCAGAAAATAGAACTGAAATCTGTTGACAGTGGTACAAGAAGTGGCCGGGTGATGAAGGGGATGGGTTGGACTGGGCTACACTTATGCAAATATGAAAACACCCCAGTGACATCTCTGTGTACAACTAATATTTGCTAATAAAAATGGAAAGGCAAAAAAAAAATCCTATTGTTTACTAGGCACTGAGGATTTGGTCAAAGCCAGCCTGGGCAAAAAGTCTGCATCTCTGATTTCTAAAAACTTCCAAAAAGCCATTAGTAGAGCTGTGGCTCAAGTGGTAGAGCACTAGACTTGAGCTAAAAGAGGCTCAGCCCTGAGTTCAAGTCCCAGGATTCCACATGCATGCATGGGTGCGCACACGCACACGCACACCACACACACACACACACACACACACACACACACACACATCACACCACATATCCCATTGCCCCAAACCACATTATTTGGCTCCTTCTACTCAAAGAGTGATTAGCAATACAGTTCCTGTGGGTGAGCTGCACTGTGTAGCACAGCACTCCTACAGGACTGCTGAAATGACAAGCCTAACTACCCTGAAACATGGACCAAAGCACTGACCTACTATCATCATCTGAAGGACTGACGGGTATTTTTACCTGTGAATTCATTACCTGATAAAAGTAGATGGGCTTACCTCTGTTTACTCAGAATCTTCTCTAGTTTGGCATCTTCTGCAGTTTGCAGGCCCAATGTAGAAGTAAGAGGACAAACTGTAGCCAGATACTGGACAAGCTGAATGTGCTGGCCAGGCCGATAGGCTCGCCCTTTCCCTTGACTATAGAGCCACTCAGCTTTCAAACTGGAATTGAGGGAAATAAAGAAAGGATGATGGTACTGGGAAGGTCCAAACACACTGCTAAGCAACAGTGATTTTCCTTCCTTATTTACCTTTATAAAAACCACTGGCTGTTTTTCATAGATATAGAGATAATGATTTGTACATTTTTTCCCCACACTTAGATATGTTTCCACAGGTTGACAGTACTGTTTCTAGATTTTTTACAATTATTTTCAAAGCAACAATGAATGTTCCCTCATTAACTCTGTCAAACTGAAAAGTCCAAATACATTAACCACATTTAAAGGCACTACTTCATAATGACATTAAAAAAAAAAAAATACACCAGGCACAGTAGCTCACGCCTGTAATCCTAGCTACTCAGTAGACAAAGATTGGGAAAACTGAGGTTGAAGGCCAGGCAGAAAGTTTGCAAGACCCCCAACTAAACCAACAAAATGCTGAGTATGCAGAAAGCATTAATAAGAGAATCATAGTCCAGGCTTACCTGGGCATAAACTTGAGAATCTATTTTAAAAACAAATCAAGGATGCCAGGTGCTGGTGGTTCATGCCTTTAATCCTAGCTACTCAGGATGCTGAGATCTGAGGATCACAGTTCAAAGCCAGGCCAGGCAGGAAAGTCCATGAGACTCTTTTTGTTTTGTTTTGTTTTTTTGGGTCCGGTTGTGGGGCCTGAACTCTGGGCCTGGGCGCTGTCCCTCAGCTCTTCAGTTCAAGGCTAGCGCTCTACCACTTGAGCCACAGCACCACTTCCGGCTTTTTTCTTATGTGGTGCTGAGGAATCGAACCCAGGGCCTTGAGCATGCAAGGCAAGTGCTCTACCACTGAGCCACCTTCCCAGCCCTCCATGAGACTCTTATCTCCAATAAACCATGCAGAAAACTGGAAGTGGCACTGTAGCTCAAGTGGTAGAGCACTAGCCTTGAGCTGAAGAGCTGAGGGACAGCACCCAGGCCCAGAGTTCAAGCCCCACAACTGACAAAAAAAAAAAAATCAAGGCTGGTACTGAGGGCCCACTCCTATAATCCTAGCCATCAGGGGGCTGAGATCAGAGGACCACAGTTCAAAGACAGCCCAGCAGGAAAGTCTGTGAGACTCTCATCTCCAATTAACCACCAACAAGCTGGAAATGGAGCTGTGTCTCAAGTGGTAGAGTGCTACCCTTAAGCAAAAATGTCTAGTGACAGTGCTTGGGCCCTGAGTTTAAGCCACACACACACACACACACACACACAGAGTGCAAAAAGAGCTGGGGACACAGACACACACACACATAAACACACACACACAGAGTGCAAAAAGATCTGGGAACCTGGCTTAATGTATAAGAGTGCTTGCTTAGAAACAAAGTACAGAGTTCAAAGCTGCAGTGCAAAAACTAAAAAATTCAAATAAAATTCATCATTTCAGAATCAATGATGAACTAGTGATTATATGTAGTGATCATTAATAGTCAGTAATAGCAAGACCATGGGAATTTCATAGTAGCCAAGAGAATCCACAAGGTAGTCCTCCACGGGTGCTAGTAACTCAAACCTGCAATCCTAGCTACTTAGTAGTAGGCTGACATGTGAGGATTGAGGTTCAAAGCCAGCTCAGGCAGATAAATCTAAGAGACTCTTATCTCCATTTAACCATCAAAAAGCCAGAAGTGGAAGTGTGGCTGAAGTAGTAGAGCACTAACTTTGAGTGGAAAAGCTAAGGAAGATTGCAATGGCCTAAGCTCAAGCCCCAGTACAAATCAAACCTTAATCTCATCATATCTCCATATCCACCTATCAATTATGCAAAAGAATATATCAAAAGACTTAGAAAAATGATTTTGTATGTGTGTGCCAGTACTAGCACATGCACTTAAGAGTCTTGAATTCAGGGCCTGGTGCTGTCTCTGAGCTTTTTTTTGCCCAAGAATAGGGCTCTACCACTTGAGCCACCACTCCACTCTGGCGTTTTGGGTAGTTTAGTGGAGATAAAGGTCTCACAGACTTTCCTTCTTCAGGCTGGCTGTGATCCTCTCATCTCAGCCTCTTGAATAGCTAGGATTACAGAAGTGAGCCACTGGTACCCAACTGCCTTGAGTTCTTTGCTTAGGTATTTTGTACAATTTCCCAAATGCATCATTATAAGAGCAATTAGGTCTAAGATACTAATATTTCTTTTTCTTTTGTCGGTCCCATAGGCCTTGAACTCTGGGCCTGGGTGCTGTCCCTGCACTCTTTAGCTCAAGGGTAGCACTACCTCTTGAGCCACAGCTCCACTCTGGTTTTCTGGTGGGTAATCGGAGATAAGAGTCTCACAGACTTTCCTACCCAGGGTGGTTTTCAGTAGCTAGGATTACAGGCGTGAGCCACTCGTGTCTGGCTAAGATTTCTTTTTCATATATAAAAAGTTGTAGGTGGAAGTGACACTGTGGCTCAAAGTGGTAGAATGCTAATCTTGAGCAAAAAAGTTCAGGAATGCCACCCAGGCCCTGAGTTCAAGCCCCACGATCACCACCAACAACAACAAAAAATCTTTCAGCTGGGCACTGCTGGCTCATGCCTATAGTCCTAGCTACTCAGGAGGCTGAGGTCTGAGGATTGTGGTTCAACACCAGCATGAGCAGGAAAGTCAGGGACACTCTTATCTCCAATTAACCACCAGAAAATCGGAAGTGGCACTGTGGCTCAAAGTGGTAGAACTCTAGCCTTAAACAAAAGATCTTAGGGACAGTACCCAAGTCCAGAGTTCAAGTCCCATGACTGACAAAAAAAAAAAAAGAAAGAAAAAAAGAAGAGCCCAGAACATTAGTTCTGGGCACAGCAAATAAGTAAAAAATTATAAGATTTTATGAGATTAATCTGAGATTCTGTAAAATATACATAACCTAGTATCTATGCAAAAGTGTTCTAAATTCCTAACAGAGTTAACAAAAGAACTTTTAGAAAGTAAATTGTTATGAGTATTAAGTTAGATCCAAAGGCTCCAACCTCTATAGCTGATATTCATACCTTGTCCTTTTTTAAGAAAGGGGAAACAGTCCCAAATGACCAGCACATAGATCAGTGTATAATTTTCTATATGCTACTATATGCATTATCTTCATTTCTTTTTTTTTTTGTCAGTTATAGGCCTGGGCACTGTCCCTCAGCTCTTCAGCTCAAGGCTAGCATTCTACCACTTGAGCCACAGTGCCACTTCCAGCTTTTTCGGCTTATGTGGTGCTGAGGAATCAAACCCAGGGCCTTATGCATGCAAGGCAAACACTCTACCACTGAGCCACCTGACCAGCCCCATTATCTTAATTTCTAACCACAGCTTGTAAGAAATATTCAATTTATTAATCTGTAGTTAATATGTAATTAAGCTAAAAATGATCTTTTTGTTAACTTTCATAATTAATATGATACCAAGGAAGTATTCACCTTTCCTTCTGAGAAATCACATATCCATCAAGGACTCTGAGATTTAAACACCAGCTGACAATATATGGCCGGTAGTCAAACCCTGGAATGGAAGGTGTTGCCATCACACAAGGATTGTTCATAATTGACAACTGCTCCAATTCAGTAAGGGATGCCAAATAAGAGATCTGGAACAAAGAATATCTTTGATGAACAAAATAGACTATTCACTGTGAATGTGCTTCAACTGATTACACACCCTTTGGCATCATTTGAGAATGCAACAATTTCCCTCTTATTCTGGAAAGCAATAAGTACTACTCTTCTATTAGCCTCTGACTTCTAAAATTTCAACAATACAGCCATTTTTCATTGCTGCACAAAGAGTTCTTACAAAGTAACAGCACTATTTCCCAGCAAAGAGAATACTACTTTGAAAATAAAGAACAGCTAGGGTAAGGTGGAAAATATGCCTTATTAACCTCTACCAACAATCATCTTCCAAGGGATGCTAATTACAGCATTACAAATGAAACCAAGCTTTAATGAGTGACCCACATTAAGAAAGCAGGAGGGCTGGGAATGTGGCTTAGTGGTAGAATGCTTGCCTAGCATGCATGAAGACTGGGGTCCAATTCCTCAATACCACACAAACAGAAAAGGCTGGAAGTGGTGTTGCGGCTCAAGTGGTAGAATGCTATAGCTCTGAGCAAAAGAAGCTATGGACAATGCCCAGGCCCTGAGTTCAAGCCCCAGGACTGGCAAAAAAAAAGACAAAAGAAAAGAGCTGGGTGACATTGGCTCATGCCTGTAATCCTAGCTACTATGAAAGTTGAGATCTAAGGATTGTGGTTCAAAGCCAGCCCAGGCAGGAAAGTCTATGAGACTCTTACCTCTAATTAACCACCAAAAAGCCAGAGTACAGCTGCAGCTCAAGTGGTAGAGCACTAGCCCTGAGTAAAAAAGCTAAAGGACAATGCCCAGACCCTGAGTTTAGGTACCAATACTAGCCTACACAAAATAAAGGAAAGTAGGAAAAAACAAAACAAAAAACAGTGAGCATTCTAAGGTCAAGTGGTTTTATCATGATGGCATTTTCTTCTAAGATGCTCAAAGTATAAAATGAGCTCACAAACCAGTCCTCTGGCTCTCTCAGACTCTCCACTTTCCTGGGTCGTATAAAGTATCTTCAAATTTTACCTCATTTAAGTCCCGAATTTCATTTTCTGCCAAAGAAAGTATAGCAAGACTTCTGGGTAGATAAGCAGGTGCCATTCTAAGAGAGGTGATGATGTTTCCATGTAAAAGCAGTGTCTTGAAAATAAAAATAGTATGGATTCATTACAAATGAATAGACACAAAGGGTTCTGTTCTGTTTTGACAATATCACACCTATAATCCTAGCTACTTAGGAGATTAAGACGTGAAGGATTGCAGTTTGAAGCTAGCCCATGCAGAAAAGTCTTCGAAATCATCTCCAAATAATCTGCAAAACATAGCACGAAAGAGGCATGGCTCCAGTAGCGGAATGCTGGCCAAGGACAAGCAGATGAAGCAAAAGATTTAGGCTCTAAGTTCAAGTCCCAGTATCAGCACAAAATAAAACAAATAAAATGAACAAAGAAATCTATTGTTGTACTTCTCATTATACACAAATCAAAGACTATTAATACTTAGAAGGATCCTAAGTGAACTTTTGGTTTCACTTTCTCTCATATCAACATCTCAACATCTGAAGCTCACGGAAGGTTAAAACCTAGTCTAGGGATGCATGCTTAATGAAGTAACTAACATGCTATGAGATTAGGTGCAAAGCAATTTCCAGCACACTTACTTCCTTTTAAATGCTAAATTTTAAAGCAAAGTTTCCAAAACGGAGAGGTAAGGCACATCTCATACCTATAACTACATAGTTTTTAGTAACTAAGAGCCAAAGGAAGGTAGAATGTCACATAAGTCAGCAACAATCAAGAACAAATTCATCACTCTGAGTACCCAGGATTATGATCAGATTACCATACCTTCATTCCAGAACATGAAGACACAGACAGAGCCACACACACAGACACACACACAAACACACACACAGATACACAGACACACACACACACATACACACACACTCACATATTCTATCACCTTCTGTTCATGAGAATTCTCTTAGCATCTCTCAGGACAGCACCTGGCTGTTTAGAATAAGGATTACTAAAAATGATTTCTACTTGAGATGTGAGAACAGAGCTAAGATAATGCTTCTAAGGCTTCTAAGCATCCATTTGACCCAATGAAAGAAAAGTAAAGAAAAAGCCCAAAAGATTTTTGAAACTGTTGATTCCATCTGTTATTTGAATGTATAATACATTATCTGCCATAAAAAGTGCAATATGGCTGGGCACCAGTGGCTCATGTCTATAATGGCTCACACCTGTAATCCTAGCTACCTAGGAGGCAAAGATCTGAGGACTAAAGTTTGAAGCCAGCCTGGGCAGTAAAGTCCATGAGACTCTTATTACAATAAATTACTCAAAAAAAGCTAGAAGTGGAGCTATGGCTCAAGTGGGAAAACACTAGCGTTGAGCACAAAAGCTTAGGAAGAGCCCAGGCCTACAGTTTAAACCCCAGGACCAGTATTCACTTGAGCAGAGTAGCTCAAGACCAGCCTGGGACAATAAGAAACTGCCCTTCTCCCACCCCCAAAAAAGATAAAGGAAAAAAAAGAAAAGAAAAGATGAACAAAAAAATGCCTCATACTTAATTTCTAGTACTCTAGTAGAACTCTTAAAACTAATTTATTCTTCATATATGGTAAGGTGGTTTTAGGTTAATCAGATCACTTTCCCTTGTTATTTTGGAATACAACAATAAAAATGACATAGAAAACATGCTTACCTTCAGGGATCTCAATTTAGATAAGTCACCTATCTGGGGTATGTTATTGTCTGACAAATCAAGGTGCTGAAGAGCTGTGCAGCTATTCATCTGCTCCATGGCCTATTACAAGAAAATGATCATATTCTTTAATGCACTCCAGAGCAAAACCTGAAATTCTTCCCTACTTCTTTGGAGCTGAGTCTCAGCTGAAAGAAGCAGGGCAGAAGAACTGAGCAAGGGGAAGGGAAAAGGGATAACAAAATTTATTAAATTGGGGCTGGGAATGTGGCTTAGTGGTAGAGTGCTTGCCTAGCATGCATGAAGCCCTGGATTCAATTCCTCAATACCACATAAACAGAAGAGGATGGAAGTAGCTCTACGGCTCAACTGGTAGAGTGATAGCCTTGAGCAAAAAAGAAGCTCAGGGACAGTGCCCAGACCTTGAGTTCAAGCCCCAAAACTGGCACAAAAAAAAAAAAATTAAATTGTCATGTTACAATCATGTTTATTGTAGGACTATTCACAACAGCTAAGCTATAGACTCACCATAGGAACATAACAACCGATAAGTGAATAAACAAAATGTGCTATATATGCACAATGGAGTATCATTCAACCATAAAGAAGAAAATTATGACATTTGCAGGAAATTTTATAGAACTGGAGATTATCATGTTAAACAAAACAACCAAGACTCAAAAAGACAAACTGATGTTTCTTCTCATTCAGAAAAAAATGACACAAATGTAAAATGTTGATTATTGAAAGGGACCGGCAAGGATAAAAGAACAAGAGAAGATGATGGGGGTGAATATGAATGAAATGCAATTTATCTATGTACAGAAATAGTAAAACTTGGCTGGGAAGGTGGCTCAGTGGTAGAGTGCTTGCCTCACATGCATGAGGCCTGGGGTTCGATTCCTCAGCATCACATAAGCAGAAAAAGTGGGAAATGGAGCTGTGGCTCAAGTGGTAGAGTGCTAACCTTGAGCTAAAGAGCTGAGGGACAGTGCCCAGGCCCAGAGTTCAAGCCCCATGACCAACAAAAACAACAAAAATAGTAAAACTCATTAAAAATTGTAAAAAAAAAAAAAAAAAAAACAAGAAAAACTGGGCCAGCAGTGGCTCATGCCAGGGCAGGAAAGTTCTTGAGACTCTTATCTCCAATTAACCACCAGAAAAGTGGAAATGGTGCTGTGGTTCAAGTAGGATAGCGCCCACCTTGAGCTGAAGAGCTCAGGGACAGCGCCCAGGCTCAGTGTTCAAGCCCCATGACCAACAAATCAAAACAAAACAACAACAACAAAAAAGCCAGGCACCAATGACTCAGGCTGAGATATGAAAATTGCAGTTTGAAACCACCCCACCCAGGAAAGTCTGTGAGACTCTCATTTACAATAAACTACTCAGAAAAGCCCGGAAGTGGTACTGTGGCTCAAGTGGTAGAGTACTAGTCTTGAACAAAAGAAGCCAGGGACAGTGCCTAGGCCCTGAGTTCAAACCCCAGACCCACCAAAAAAAATGAGGAAGAAGAAAAGAGAAAGGGAATAAGAAAAAATAATGGAGGCCTGGGAAGGTGGCTCAGTGGTAGAGCACTTGCCTTGCATGCATGAGGCCCTGGGTTCAATTCCCCAGCACCACATAAGCAAAAAAGAAAAAAAGCCGGAAGTGGCGCTGTGGCTCAAGTGGTAGGGTGCTAGCCTTGAGCTGAAGGACAGCGCCCAGGCCCAGAGTTCAGGCCCCACAACTGGACCCAAAAAAAAAAAAAAAGAAAGAAAGAAAGAATAATGGAGAAAGTAAATACAATCAAAGCATACTAAATACATATGTGGAAATACCACTCATTTGTACACCTGACATACATTAATAAAGTACATTACTATTAATCATTTTGCAAGCTTCTATCTTGGCTATTTCTTTAAAAAAAATAGAAGGTTATTAAGTAGTTCATGTAATTTCCAATAATCTACAACTAAAAAAAACCTTAGTGACTTATGACAGTTGGTATGGAACAGAATTTGCCAATTTAGAGTGAAGCCAAATAGCCTGAATTTAAAATGTGGCTCTTTAATTTCCTGGATTGTGACTCTGGATGAGTAGAAATGGATAGCTTCATTTTTTTTTTTTTTTTTTTT